CCTCTTTATTATTTATGTATTTTATTATTACATAATAATGGTTATGTACAGTTTTCAACCTCAAGACTCTGGGGGAATACAAGACCTTTGTGAGAGTCTGTGGTGGTAATTGGAGAATACTTGATACCAGGAATAATATTATAATTCTTTTTATACAAACATGCTTTGCTTTTTAAGAAGAGGAATGAAATTGCCTAGTGAAATTGCGGAGTTAAATGCAATGTAAATAATTGATATACTATAAATATTAATATAAAAAGAAAGCTTTAATTTGATCTTGAGCTGTAACAAGTTATTAGAAACAAAAGTCTGGATGTGTTTCATTCCTGTATGATGAGTTTTTCTCATTGTTGTGAGTGGGTAGGGAGTCTGTGAACACTTAGAGCTGTTTAATCTCTTCATTTGGCAGCCATTGTAGTAGATTATATGAATAGATCCCTTTTCATCTCTCCGATAAGAGATAGCTACTGTATGAGGGGAATTCAACCCTCCAGCTCCTTCTACCAGCCAGTTTTTTCCTACCTTTTCAAGAAAATATCCATAGCAATCACTGTCTTATCTTTTTTTTTTTGTCTTATCTTTATTTAAGAAAATACGTGTTGTAGTCAATGTTCAGAACAATTACGTGTCGAGTTAGTATTTTGGTCTCTTCTCAGTATCTCCCAGACCTTGCTCTTATTCTCTTTAATTCTTTAATTCTTTTGCATTAAAGGATTATCCTTTCTATAATCATCGTCTTCAACCACTCTTAATCCCATTTCAGATTATTCTCTTTTTGTATATTATGAAACAGCACTGTGGAAACACCTAGGAGCCTCAACAGTTGCTTTAAACTATTTTAGTAGCACTGTCAGATGCTTACTGCCCAAGAAGGGTGCTACCAAATATATAAGATATAAAGCAAAATGGAATTTGTAGTGTAAAAATCCTTTGTAATGAGACTTTACCAATTACAGTTTTGTAATTTACTTTTTTAAAGCTTTATTGAAATATAATTTACATACCATAAAATTCACCTGTTCTAAATGTACAGTTTACTGATTTTAAAAATATACAGAATTGTACAGTCATCAACCACAATCTAATTTTAGAAAATTCCATTACCACCATCACCCCCAGAGAAACCTTGTGTCCATTTGCAATTATTCTCACTCCCCCCTCAGCCCTAGGCAACCATTAATCTACTTTCTGTCTCTATGCTCTTTACCTTTTTTTCTTTGTAAGATGTTATTTATTTATTTGCAAGAGAGAGCATGAGCAGGGGGAGGAGCAGAGGGAGAGAGACAAGCAGACTCCCTGAGTGGAGAGCCTGACTTGGGGCTCAATCCCAGGACCCCGAGATCATGACCCGAGTTGAAGTCAGATACTTAACTAAGCCACCCAAGAGCCCCTCTATGCTCTTTACTTTTATGGACATTTCATATAAATGAAATTACATAATATCTTGTCTTTTGTGTTTGGCTTCTTTCACTTAGGGTGATGATCATACATATTGTTACATCTATTAAAATTTTGTTCATTTTTGTTGTTGAGTAGTATTCCCAACAGATATATCACGTTTTGTTTTTCCATTCACCAACTGATAGACATTTGGGTTGTTTCTACTTTTTGGCTATTCTGAATAATGTTTTTATCAACATTTGCATACAAATCTTTGTGTCAACATAAACTTTCATTTCTCATGAATAAATATGTAGGGGTGGAATTGCTGGGTCATATGGTAAATCAGCATTTAGCATTTCAAGAAACTGCCAAACTTTTTCAGAGTCACTATGCCATTTTACATTTCTATGGTAATGTGTGAGGGTTCCAGTTTCTCCACATCCTTCTCAGCATTTGTATGTCATTTTTATTATAGCCATTCTAGTGGTTGTGAAATAGTACGTCATTGTGGTTTTAACTTGTATCACTATCGTGGCATGTCTGTGTTCTGTTGTTGGTTGGAGTTTTCTATCAATGTTGATTTTATCCTCTTGGTGATGGTATTGTGTCATAGCCTTGTTGAATTTGTCTATTTGTTCCATCAGTCATTGGGAGGGGATATTTGTTTGTTTCATATGTTTTTAGATTCTCTGGTGCTCTGAAGTTTGACGATTATGTGCCTTGGTAGGTCTGTTTTCTTCCACAATGCTGACCCTCATTGTGCTCTTTCAATTTATTTTTTTTTAAGATTTTATTTATGGGTGGCTGGGTGGCTCAGTCGTTAAGCGTCTGCCTTCGGCTCAGGTCATGATCCCAGGGTCCTGGGATCGAGTCCCACATTGGGCTCCCTGCTCAGAGGGGAGCCTGCTTCTCCCTCTCCCACTCCTCCTGCTTGTGTTCCTGCTTTGCTATCTCTCTCTCTCTGTCAAATAAATAAATAAAATCTTTAAAAAAAAAAAAGTATTTATTTATTTGAGAGAGAGAGAACAAGAGAGAATGAGCGGGGAGGAGAGGGAGAAGCAGGCTCCCGCGAGCAGGGAGCCTGATGTGGGCCTCGATATCAGAACCCTGGGATCATGACCTGAGCCAAAGGCAAACGCCACCCAGGTGCCCCTCACTGTGCTCTTTCAATGTGGAAATTCATGTCCTTCAGTCTTTTACAGTTTTCATTTATTTATTTGATTTCTTTGTTTTCTCTGTACTGTTGCTGAAATTCCATTTATTTGGATATTAGTTCCTCTAAGCCAATCTTAACCTATTTTTTTTTTCTATATTTCAGGAGATACCCTCAAGTTTCTCTTCTAGCTTTCTACTGATCTTTTTTTCCTATCGTATTATATCCTATTTTTAATTTCCAAATCTTTGTTGTTTTGTTTTTTGTCTCATTTGTGTTTCATATATACAATTTGTTCTTATCTCTCAAGGATTTCTGAAAGTCAGGCTTATTAAGATATAATTTACATATAAAAATTCACCCTTTTTTGTGCATAGTAATATCAGTTTTGACAGGTAACTACCACCATAATCAATATGGAAAACAGTTCTTTGGGAAACTTTGACCATCACTAATGTCAATATTTTTAGATGTGTGTGTGTTTGTGTATGTATGTATGTATGTGTGTTTTCCTCTGGGACTGATCAGAATTTCCAAAGAAGGATCTTCTGTACTCTTCCTGGAGTGTATAAGGCTGACCTCAAGCTTCCATGAGGCAAATGGTAGAAAGAAGCTTAGATCTCAACATTTAGTATGTAAACTTTCACTTGATCCCCTGTTAGAAAATACTCCTCTTCTTCATTCGTGCCTGGTGTTTCCTATCCCAAAGACTCCTGTTTTAAATTTTCCATACAAAAAAATTTTATTGGAATGGGGAAAGGGATCTAGGGGCTAATTGTGTCTTAAACGGATATTCAGTCATTCTCCTTATTCTTAAGCCCACATTTATCTCCACTTCTTGAGATCCTCAATATTGCCAAGTCCTGGGCCTTTTGGGGATTCTGCTTTTTACCTTTCCTCATTGCTGATTTAGGTCTTGGCTTTCTCAGATCTGCTGTCATTTATCACTTCTGCTTTGCAGTTTCCAAAATGTTATTGCCATCAACTCATCTTTTCTTCTTTGTCCTTACGGGTTTTATGCCTTTAAAAATCCTTTACTATCATTGTAATGAGGTTTCAGGGAAGGGTAGAAGTAATTGCTTAAGTTTAGTCCATTATCTTTAATAAAAGTCCCCCTTTCTTTAAGAAAGAAAAGCTTACCTTGTGCAAAAGATCCTTTATGATCCAGCTTCTACCTCTCCAGCCTCAGTTTTTACTCTGCTACAACCCACCTCAAGCCTAAGATCCAGTCACATGCATCTTCTTAAGAGTTTGCCAAACAAGCCATGTTGCTTCATGCCTTTCAGTTCTGCACATGCTATTTTTTCAATGTGCTATTTATCCTTTAAGTCTGCTCAGTAAAGCTTTGCTGACTCACATGACTGCCCCTCTGTTGGAGTGTTTATTGTATTACTGTAATTACTTGTTTTTTAGAAAGTCTCATCCTAAAGGTTTTTTAATCTAGGGGTGCAGCTGGATGGATTAATGGCCGGAAATCTTAGAATACCCTGAAATTATTTGCAAATTTTCATGTGTTTGTGCATATTTTTGGAAAGTTCTCTAAGGCAGATTTTCTTCTAAGAGTGTGCATCAGAAATGCTGTGGAGCTTTTTAAAAATATAATTGCTTTGGGTTTCACTCCAGAGACCTGCTGAGTTATAATCTGAACTTAGGGCCCAGAAAGATGTATTTTCTAAAAGCTTCCCAAACAGTTCTTTAGAAGAGCATCTCTGGTCTGTCATCTACATTAATTCTGGGGCCTGGCATATAGTGAATGCTCAGTAAACATTTAAAAAAGGAATGAGGGAGGAACTTATGTTCAGTCATGGCCTGAAATAAAACTTCCTATGTGAAATGTGAGTGCAAGTGGGGGAATCACTAATTTATTCTGTTATATAAAGGAAGTAATAGTATCTATTTCCCCTCTTCGAATATAATTGAAGGAATAGAAAATTGTGGATTGTTTTTTCAAAGGTAGAGGAAAGCTCTGGAGAGCTAACTGCAAGAATGAAAGAAAAATTTAAGGATTAGGCATAAAACAAATCATATATATATAGTTTGATTTTTGTTCCTCTGCTGCTTGTAGTTGTATTTGACCCAGTGATTTGATTTTAAGACTAGGCTTCCATACATTTGGATGTCATTGATACTTACTAATTAGACCTGATTTCATAACCTGTAAATTTAAATTTAATATATAGCTAGTGATATAGAAAATAGGGAGATTGACATGGTGCATTGGCAAAAAATATGCCATATTATTGTTAACTGGCTGCAAATAAGGAATGAGAACAGGAGCCTAATTTCCTGGAATGCCCTGCCTTCTGTTTCCTTTGTTTAAGGTTTTAAAATGTGTATAAATTAGAACTATGTCCTCTGCTTTACTCGTAAACCTCTTTTACATAGTGTTATATTTTTATATGTCTGTTAATGATCAGGCTCTTTTGCTTTTTGTATTTTCCATTATTTTTGTTTTGTTGTTTAGGTATTTAAGAGATTATGGCATCTGAAGCCCACAATGTTAAAAAACGAGCCTTTTGTAATAATATTGAGGATCATTCCACTGATCTTCCTAGAAAAAGGATCTCTAATTTTACTAATAAGAACATGAAGGAGGTAAGTGCATGGTTTCTAGGTAATGGGTAAGATGGTATCTTAATCTTTTCATGCTGCTATAGCAGAATACGATAGACAGTGACTTATAAACAATGGGACTTTATTTCTCACAGTTCTGGAGGCTGGGCAGAAGTCCAAGATAAAGACCCTGGCCAATTTGGTATCTGGTTGGAGCCTCTTTCCTGGCTCATAGTTGGCTGTCTTCTCTGCTGTTTCCTCACATGGTAGAAAGGGCAAAAGAGCTCCCTGGGGTCTCTTTTATAAGGGCACTAATCCCATTCGTGAGGGCACCACCCTCATGACCTGATCACCTCCTAGAAGCCCCACCTCCTAATATCATTCATTTTGGGCATTAGGATTTCAACATGAATTTTGAGGAGACCTGGTCATTCAGTATATCACAGATAGTTTAAACTGTTAAGTCTATGGGTAGTTTTGGTTAAATTATTTAAACAATAGGAAGGTGATAATTTGCTTATCTCCCAGAATTAAGTACAATTAATGAAATACTGAAAACTGTTTATATTCCAAAAGCTCTATAAAGTTTATGGACAGTATGCTGTTTTGATATGATATCATTTGAATATTATAGTTTAATTCCAAAGAGGAATCTCAGAGGTGCTTTTTATTCACCACTGCTGATATAATTTCTTTTAAATGATATTAAAAGTCAACTCACTTATTAAGTACCATGTAAGTAAAATATATGACTAGTGGCATGGAAAATAGGGAGATGGATATGTTGCTTTGTCAAATACATCTATGCAGTGTTGTCGTTAACTACAGACTGAGACTGCTGCTTTAATCTGAAAAACTTAACTATGGAATTTCAGATTTGTTGATACCAGTCACAGAACTTAAATATGCTGTTAACTCTCTACTTTTATTTTTCAGGTTAAGAAATCTCCAAAACAGTTGGCTGCTTACATAAATAGGTAAGAGCTTCTTTAAGGTTTGTGGGAAACAAATATCGAAAGCTAGGTAAGAATGAAAAAGAGGGAGGGGAAAAAAAAGTCTTCTCAGGGCACCTGCGTGGCTCAGAGGGTTAAACGTCCGCCTTCAGCTCGGGTCATGATCCCAGGGTCCTGGGATCGAGCTCCACATCCGGCTCCCTGCTTGGCAAGGGGCCTGCTTCTCCCTCTCCCTCTACTGTTCCCCCTGCTTGTGCTCTCTCTCTCTCTCTCTCTCTATCAAATAAATAAAATCTTAAAAAAAAAAAAGTCTTCTCTTTTATTATAATAAGTAACTTATTGTCAAAGAGCTCCTGTGTGCCATTCTCTGTGGAAAACACATCAGTATTATCTCTAATCCTTACAACAATCCTACTAGAAAGGTATTATTGCCCCTAACAGTTGATGAGAAAAATTAAGATTTGTGATTTGTTCAGGGTCATATAGCCACAAAGTGGTAAAAATGACATTCATTCCCAGATCTTTTGAACTCTAAAAGCACTTTCTACTAAACTACTGGTTCTCACAATGGATCTGAGGATAGCGGGGGTTCTTGGAGTCCTTTCAGGTAGTTTATGAGGTCAAGACTATATTCATAACAATAACATTAATTCACCTTCTTGATTTTCACTTAGAAATACTTAGTTTTCCAGGGACTACATGATATTTGATACCACAGTAGATTGAATGCAGAGGCAGATATGAGAAGCCAGCTGTCTTAACTAAATATTAGAGATTTTGCACAAATGTAAAAAAGTGCCATTCTTCTCACTATATTTTGTTCTGGAAAATGGGTTTTTGTTTTTGGTAAAATATTCTATGCTAATATGTAATAAGCTTATTATTTCTTAAATGAATCAGTAAGTTTCCTCAGTTTCAGTGTCTGATCCAGGAAATGTCAGTAGATATTGCCCACATAAAAAAATTCTTTTGAAACCTCAATAATTTTTAAGAGTTGCAAAGTATCCTGAGGCCAAGACATTTGAGAATCACTGTATGAAACTGTGAGATTTGCTCTATTGTGTCTTATCTTATTTAAACAAATTAAATATACTTAAGTTTAATCAAAGTAAGTATTCTTGGGGCCCCTGGGTGGCTCAGTCGGTTAAGGGTCTGCCTTCGGCTCAGACATGATCCTGGGGTCCTGGGATCTAGCCCTGTTATGGGCATGCAGCTCAGCGGGGAGTCCGCTTCTCTCTCTCCCTCGAACCCTCCCCCTGCTCGTGCTCTCGCTCCCTGTCTTTGTCTCTCTCAAATGAATAAATAAAAAATCTTTATATATGTGTATTCAAATTTGCACAATTCAGATATATTTCATTTTTAAAGCATATAGGTACTATGCTTCAGTTTCATTGGGTATAAAGTTTATCCTTTTCATTGCTTTCCAGTAGGTTTGTAATTTTTTCCCTTTAATTTTCTTCTTTGATCTAAGAGTTAGGATTTTTAAAATTCTATTTACTTCTAATTTTAGTGGATTGTGATCACAAAATGTGACCTATTAAATCTTTCTGCTTAAAAAGTTATAAAGGTTTCCATGTAGTTCTTTTTCATTTAAGCAAATCAATTCTTCTTACAGAACAGTTGGACAAGCTGTGAAAAGCCCAGATAAACTACGTAAGGTGATCTATCGCAGAAAAAAAGTGCATCATCCTTTTCCAAATCCTTGTTACAGAAAAAAACAGTCCCCTAGAAGTGGGGGCTGTGACATGGCAAATAAAGAAAATGAACTGGCTTGTACAGGCCACCTGCCTGAAAAATTACACCATGATAGTCGAACATATTTGGTTAACTCCAGTGATTCTGGTTCTTCACAAACAGAAAGCCCATCATCAAAATATAGTGGGTTTTTTTCTGAGGTAAGTCATTTGAATGAGCTTAACTTTATTCCTGTTATACTATTCGCTTTTTTCTTTGTCATATTCTTCTAGCAGAGTCGTTCATTACCTGTTGAATTCAGACTCTTTGATTCTCACTCCCTGAGACAGTTTTCTAGATTAACCAAATTTGAATCAGTAGTTACTCCATTTCACTAAGTTAGTAATATCTGAGATGGAATGAAATGGTTGACAAGCTGCTATAAATATTCAAAATGGCAAGTTGGCCAGCAGAGATTTAAAGGAAAGGAAAAGAAGGAATCTGGCCTAAAAAGTAGACCACCAAAACCAGTTAGTTATCCAGGAACAAATGTTTTGCTTGGCTCTCAGAATTGCCATTGGAAGCTTTGTTCAGGAAAACATGCTGAGCTTTGCTTCTCTTCTAGCTCAGGTGAAATTAGTTGTTTGAACAGGCTTAAGGGAATTTGGGGGTGGTGGTGAAAGTAATATTCTAAAACTGGATTGTAATGATGGTTGTATAATTCTTTCATGATCTGTGAGAAGAAAGGAAGCAGGGAGGCACTGGGTGGCTCAGTCACTTAAGCGTCTGACTTTGTTTCCACTCAAGTCATGATCTCAGAGTCATAAGATTGAGTCCTGTGCAGGGCTCTGTGCTCAGGGTGGAGTCCGCTTGGGATTCTCTCCCTTTTCCTCTCCCTCCCCTTTTGCCCCTCCCTGTGCGTACATGCGTGTACTTGCTGGCTTACTCTCTCTCTAAAGTAAATAAATAAAAATCTTTTTTAAAAAAAAAAAGGGGGGCACCTGGGTGGCTCAGTCGTTAAGCGTCTGCCTTCGGCTCGTGTCGTGATCCCAGGGTCCTGGGATGGAGCCCCACATCAGGCTCTCTGCTCAGCGGGAAACCTAATTCTCCCTCTCCCACTCATGTTCCCTCTCTCACTGTCTCTCTCTCTCTGTCAAATAAATTAAATCTTTAAAAAAAAAGAATCAAGGAGAATTTGATTTAATAGTGAATTATCATGGACCCTGGAGAATAGGGTGGTAATCAAACTTAGTATTGAAGAGAATCACTGTCATGCTAATTCATTCACAAATACTTACTTGAGGGCTCCCAACTGTAATGCATTCTGCAGGCTCTGAGGAGTATATCGGTAGATGAAAAACAGACACTGCTCTTACTTTCATGTAGTTAGAGAAGTGATGGGGCCAACACTAATCAGATAAAGAAACTACATACCCTGAAGAAAAAGAACATATGATTATATAACCCAGAAATCTGGACACCTGGGTGGCTCAGTTGTTGAGCATCTGCCTTTGGCTCAGGTCATGATCCCAGGATCCTGGGATCGAGCCCCACATCAGGCTCCCTGCTCAGTGGGAACCCTGCTTCTCCCTCTCCCACTCCCCCTGCTTGTGTTCCCTCTCTCGCTGTGGTAAATAAATAAAATCTTAAAAAAAAACGAGAAATCTGGCCTAGATTGGGACCTAGGTTGGTTCATCAGCTGAATTGAGGGAATGGACATTCTGAGTGCAAATACCTTTATAAAAAAAAAAAAAAAAAAAACTTCAGTTATACATTTGAATTAGTGCCGTGGTGAGTCATTTTTCAAGGTCCCCCTTTTACGTTGCTCTCAGTTTGATTACTTTGCACAAACCTTCCTTAGCATGATACTTAGCTAATAAGTTTATTGGTCTTTTGTTTTTTTTTTTTTTAAGATTTATTTTGAGAGAGAGCTCATTTGCGCATGCAGTGGGGAGGGGCAGAGGGAGAGAGAGTTATCTTAAGCAGATGCTGCGCTAAGCACTGAGCCCAACGCAGGGCTTGATCTCACAACCCTGAGATCACAACCTGAGCCAAAACCGAGAGTCGGTCGCTTAACCGACTCTGCCATCCAGGAGCCCCTGATCTTTTGTTATTTCATACCTTTTTTACTGAGTCACTGGTGCCTGCTCTAAAAACCTAAATCTAAAAGTGGTAACATTATTTTGTCAAAGTTCAAATACACATAACCTTTTGATCCAACAGTTCTGTACCTAGGTATATACCCAAGAGAATTGAAAACATATGTCCACACAAACACTTATAAACAGATGTTCATAACATTTATAATAGCCCAAAGTGGAAACATTCCAAATGTCCTTCATCTGATGTATGGATAAATAAAATGTCATATATTCATACAGTGGAATATTATTTGACCATTATAAAGAGTAAAGTACCGATATATGCTACACTATGTATAAACCTTGAAAACATTATGCTGTGTGAAAAAAGCCTCATCGAAAAGGCCACATATTGTGTAATTCAAATTATATGAACTGTCCAGACTAGGTGAAGTCATAGAGACAAAAAGTAAATGGTTGCCAGGGGCTGGAAAGAAGGGAGAATGGAGTTCAGGGTTTCTCTTAGGGGTGATGAAAATGTTGATTTTAAAATTAATTGTGGTGGGGCGCTTGGGTGGCTCAGTTGGTTAAGCGACTGCCTTCGGCTCAGGTCATGGTCTCAGGGTCCTGGGATTGAGCCCCGCATTGGGTTCCCTGCTTGGCAGGGAGCCTGCTTCTCCGTCTCCCTCTTGAGGGCCCTCCTCCCTGCTTGTGCGCTCTCTCTCTCTCTCAAATGCATAAATAAAATCTTTAAAAAAAATAAATGAATAAAATTGATTGTGGTGATGGTTGTACAATCCACAGATATACTAAAAACTGCTGAATTGTACATTTTAAGTGATTAAGTTTTATGGTATGTGAATTATATCTTAATCTGTTATTTAAAAAAATGAATCTAGTTGTTCCGGTGCTAAAATTAATCTTACCGAAATATTTGTGTAAGTGCACATATTTACATACATAAGGATATTCACTGATGCATAATTTTAATAGGGAAAAACCAGAATCAATCTAAATAAATTATAGTGTATAACAACTGGAGATTGTTTTTTAAAAATGAGGTTGATCTGTGTTTTGACATTAAAATCTTTATAATATATAAGTGAAAAACAAGGTTTTCAAAAATACAGGTATTATAATATTTTAATTTCATATCTAATTGTCTGTCTGGAAAATGGTTTGGAAAGATACATACCAGTCTGTTAACTGTGATTACTTCTGGGAAGTGTTACTAGTTTTTATCTGGGTAGATAGAGATTATTGACTTTTTCTTTGATACAGTTCTGTGCTATTTGAACTTTTTACAATAGGAACATATTACCTTACTATATTAAAAAAAATGAATGAATGAATTTAAATACTGGTCATAGAACTGAATTTTTGTGGTTCCCTTCCCATGTTATTCAGTATATATTTATCTTTGCCTTTAATCCGCATAATAAATTAAATCCTAGGTTTGTAGGTGAATTAAAAATAATTTATTTTACAAATTATTGAGATTTAAAAAGAAAATGGTAGCAAATAAAAAGTACTGATAAAAAATAAACAAGTCCTGGGGTGCCTGGGTGGCTCAGTTGTTAAGTGTCTGCCTTCGGCTCAGGTCATGATCCCAAGGTCCTGGCGTCAAGTCCTGCATTGGGCTCCCTGCTCGGCGGGAAGCCTGCTTCTCCCTCTCCCACTCCCCCTGCTTGTGTTCCTGCTCTTACTATCTCTCTCTCTCTCTGTCAAATAAATAAATAAAATCTTTAAAAAAATAAAATAAGTCCTAAATTTATTCAGATCATTTGTTTACTTTGTTAACTGCAACATTCCTTTTTTGGGGTCAGTAAAAGGAGTCACCTCTGCATAATTTTAAAATATGTCTACCAGAATAATTTAACTGGAAAAAAAATGGTTTCATGTCATGTTTCAGTGTGCTTTTTAACAAATTAGATTACTGCCTTTCAGGTTTCTCAGGACCATGAAACAATGGCACAGGTTTTGTTCAGCAGGAATTTGAGATTGAATGTAGCTTTAACATTCTGGAGAAAGAGAAGTATAAGTGAACTTGTAGCTTATTTGGTGAGGTAAGTATGACCTTTTATGCTTTTGTTCAGTTAAAGTAATTTCCATGTTTTATCTTGAAGCGCCTCTTCTTTTTTATGTTATATTGGCTAAAATTTTAAATTTCCTATATTTAGCTTCAGTATAACAATTTAGTTTATATTTATCAGCAGTCTAAGAGTAATCAACATACAGAAAACCATCTGTTTCATCATATTGAACAAAGCTATTACCTTCTCTAGGGTTCTTATATATAAAACTAAGAGATACCAGTATGGGAAAAGTAACCTTTTAAAAATCCTCTTTGAGTCAAAATTTTAAGCATGGCTTTCCTCAGTATATTCAAGTCTCTTCTCAAACATTTATCTTTTTCCCCCCCCTAGAGAGAGAGGGTATGTGTGTGGGGAGGGGGGAGTTGTCAGGCAGGCAGAGAGGGAGAGAAACATTCTTTGAGCAGGTTCTCTTCTCAGAGCCCCATGCAGGGCTAGATCTCATGTTCCTGAAATCATGACCTGAGCCAAAATCAAGACTCAGATGCTTAACCGTCTGAGCCAACCAGGCACCCCCACTTCTCCAATATTATCTTAATGAAGCCTCCCCTGACCACCTTATTTAAAAATACATATTTTGGGGCACCTGGGTGGCTCAGTTGTTAAGCGTCTGCCTTCGGCTCAGGTCATGATCCCAGGGTCCTGGGATTGAGCCCTGCATCGGGCTCCCTGCTCAGCGGGAAGCCTGCTTCTCCCTCTCCCACTCCCCCTGCTTGTGTTCCCTCGATTGCTGTCTCTCTGTGTCAAATAAATAAATAAAATCTATTTAAAAAATACCTATTTCTTCACTTCCTGTCTTTCCTGTTTTATTTATTCCCATAGCACTTACTACCATCAACTTGCTCTCTATGTATTTTACTTGTTATCTGTCTCTGTCTTCCTCCACACCCCATCCCCACACACACTCTGAAATACAAGAACTATATCTCTTTGTTTACTGCTGCATCCCCAGCACCTGGCTCATCATAGAGACTTAGATTCTTTGCTGAATGAGTCAATTTTTCAAAAGCAGTGTGGAAGTTACAGATAAGGAAATCAGCACTCTAAGCAGTTTTCTACCCACAGGATAGAAGACCTTGGAGTTGTTGTGGATTGCCTTCCTGTGCTCACCAATAGGTAAAAAAGAATATTTTTCGGAAAAACAGTAAGTTTAAAGAAGGGCAAATGACTTATTCATAATTTTACAACTTAGTATTTATTTTAGTTTACAGGAAGAAAAACAGTACATCTCACTTGGCTGCTGTGTAGATTTGTTGCCTCTAGTGAAGTCCCTACTTAAAAGCAAATTTGAAGAGTAAGTGCTAATGTGACTCTCAATTCATTTTTCTCTTTCAGCATCCTTGATTTTGTTGCTTGTGAATACATAGTGGTAGTTTGAACTCCATGAGACATGCATGGTTTCTCTTTTCAAGGAGCTTATAGCCCAATTAAGAAAAGAATATGAAATGATTAAAGATTAATTACAAAAGCATCTATAAACAACTTACATAAAATACAGCTTTTGAAAGTAGCGAAATAAAATTTTTAAAGGGGAAAAATCAGTATGTGTATGTGCTTTTTGAGGTGGGGGCAGAGTATGTATCTTTTTTTGTAAAGGCTTGTTGGGTGAAAACACTTGAATTCTGTAACAAAATGTCATTTCAGATATATAATAGTTGGTTTAAACTGGCTTCAAGCAGTCATAAAAAGGTGGTGGTCAGAACTGTCATCCAAAACAGAAATTATAAATGATGGGTGAGTATATCTTTAAAAATAAACTCAGTCTAATAAAAGTTTTTTCAGAAAAGCAGTTTGATTAAAAGGTGATAATTCTATTCCATGATCATCATTAAATAAAAATTTATTTTCTTCATTTTCAGAGAAATATTAAATTGGAATAGTGTTCACATGTGAAAATTACATATGAAAGTTGAATTCCAGAGCCCAGTAACCCCCTCTATCTCTTTTTCTGGCAGAACCTTACACTTCATTTTTTTATTGTTATGTTAATCACCATACATCATTAGTTTTTGATGTAGTGTTTCATGATTCATTGTTTGTGCATAACACCCAGTGCTCCACGCAGAATGTGCCCTCTTTAATACCCATCACCAGGCTAACCCAGCCCCCCACCCCCCTCCCCTCTAGAACCCTCAGTTTGTTTTTCAGAGCCCATCGTCTCTCATGGTTCATCTCCCCCTCCAACTTACTCCCCTTCATTCTTCCCCTCCTGCTATTTTTTTCTTTTTTTTTTTCTTAACATATATTGCATTATTTGTTTCAGAAATACAGATCTGTGATTCATCAGTCTTGCACAATTCACAGCGCTCACCATAGCACATACCCTCCCCAATGTCTATCACGCAGCCACCCCATCCCTCCCACCCCCCACCACTCCAGCAACCCTCAGTTTGTTTCCTGAGATTAAGAATTCCTCATATCAGTGAGGTCATATGATACATGTCTTTCTCTGATTGACTTATTTCACTCAGCATAACACCCTCCAGTTCCATCCACGTCGTTGCAAATGGCAAGATTTCATTCCTTTTGATGGCTGCATAATATTCCATCGTGTATATATGCCACATCTTCTTTATCCATTCATCTGTCGATGGACATTTTGGCTCTTTCCACAGTTTGGCTATTGTGGACATTGCTGCTATAAACATTGGGGTGCACGTACCCCTTCGGATCCCTACATTTGTATCTTTGTGGTAAATACCCAGTACCTTACACTTCATTTTAGGAGGAAAAAGCGCAATAGTGCTTTAACCCTCATACCTGTTATAATGAGTAAGGGAGAAAAAAAGAGATGGCTTTTGGTGAGTTAAGTATTGAGGCACAGGGATGGAAGCATCCTGCATCCTATAGGTCTTTTGACTACCTAGACATTAACCTGAGAATCCAATGTGTATGATTATAATTCTAAAAACTGTACTATAACCATCATAATTTGAATATTGCCTTGATGTAAAAATGTGTGGGTATTCTACTAGATGAACCAGATTATCATGAAGCTGCAAAAAAATACCTCCCAACAGTCTTCTTAAAAGATTTTTTTCTCTAGGCTCTCAAAAATTTCCCACTTCATACCCAAGACCAGGTTGTCCAAATGCTGCTCCAAATGCCTAGTTTTCTTTCCTGCTTTAACAAATAAGTAATCTTTAATTTCCATGATTGGCAAGTATTATTTTAAAGAGTTGCTTGATTTCAAATGGTACAATTTCTTCTGATAAATACTTGAAAATTTGAAACTGTGTTCACTAAGTATATTTACTAAGTCCATATTCTTATATTTGCATTCTTTTTTCTCCTAGAAATATTCAGATTTTAAAACAACAATTAAGTGGATTATGGGAACAGGAAAACCATCTTACTTTGGTTCCAGGATATACTGGTAATATAGCCAAGGTAATCCACATTTAAGCTTAAAAGTTAAGCTTAAAATCTCTATTTAAGCTTAATTAAATATTAGAAATAATATATTAGTATTATGCATTTATTAAATGAAGTCTTTCAAATATTCAATACAGTATATTCTTTTTTTTTAGATTTTATTTATTTATTTGACAGAGAGAGCGAGAGAGGGAACACAAGCCAGGGGCAGAGGGAGAGGGAGAAGCAGGCTCCCCCCAAGCAGGGAGCCTGATGCAGGGCTCGATCCCAGGACCCTGGGACCATAACCCGAGCCGAAGGCAGACGCTTAACGACTGAGCCACCTGGGCGCCCCTACAGTACTATTCTAATAAGGCCTAAATTCAGTTTCATATTTACAAATGCTTAAGGTCCTCTGGATATGAATATGACTTCGGCAAGGAACACAGGAATTAGCCATTGAATGTATTTCAGATGCAGCTGTGGAAATGATGTGCTAGAGGGAATTTAATGAACTAGCTCCAATTAGAGAAAAGGTTAAGAACCCAGGTTAGGAAGGCATCCGAAAAGACAATGACACTCAGGAAACAAGGGGTAAGGAATGTAATCACATGCTTTCAGGGTATTATTTTGTACTTGGCTTTTGCTAACGTCATGCTTTTGGGAAAGTAAATGTTCAAATCACAGTATGAATTTGACATTGTTCTTTATTTATTTTCTTATCTCTTAAAGGAAAAGATATATTGCTAGTTTGGATTTTAATATTTAAACTCCAGAAAACATTGGTAGTTAAAATATAATTGCAGGGGGAAAAAATCACTCTTAAGAAATATTTGCACCCTTTTACTGGGCGTACTGCTATCATAAATGGGCATCAATCAGAAATATACAAGCATTCTTTAGTTTAAAAAATACAGTATTCTAAGTAAGAGGTATTATGTTGTGGACTTAGTTGTAAAATTCTCCTTGGATACCTTCAAGAAAAGAAGCAAAATGATTTATCAAACAAGTGTGTGACCACTGTGTATAATTTTACTCTGTAAAATTCTTAATGATGAAAATCTCATAAACAAATATCAATTTCCCAGTTTTTTGTTGTTGTTTTAGTTGTTCTTTCAATAATGGGGGGAAAATGAAGTAAAAGTTGATAGAAAATGAATATAGAGTATGTAATACATATCACCTTGTTCTGGAGGCACCTTGCTTTCTTGTTAGTAGTACTGAAAAAATATTGTCTCCTTAGAAATTTCCTTTCAATTACAATTTTTTTTATAAAGAGAAACTTTATGGTGGTTATGACCCTAGATACTGCATTTATTATTGAAGAAAATATTGAGTGATTAAAAAAGTTCTGTGAAGTTCCTTAAATTGTGATAAAAACCTTAAGCCCTCAGCTGTAATTTTTCAAGGATAGAAATCAGAAAGGCTGTCCTCAGGCTGGCCTAGAGTGTATATAGCAATGAAGGAATTGCTGGGAATGATTTAATGATCTTGCTTAGCTATAAAAGCAGAGTGATTTGATCACAGGAACCAGAACATTCACTCAGCACTTAACAAACATTTATTGAGCATGTGCTATGTGCCAGACGCAGTGCTAAACAAAATGCAGCTAAAAGTTCAGTAAGACACATTTACCCTCAGAAGGTCACAAGAAGCTAAAGCAAATCACGTAACAAAAAGGGAGGAGAAAATGAGGTGTGCATATGTGTATTTGCTGTACCAGCTAATGAAATGTTTTTGTTTTGTTTTCTAAGGATGTAGATGCTTATTTATTACAGTTGCATTGAGAGACTTCATCTACTAAAGAGCATTTGATTATTCAAAACGTCCCCAGACTAAGATTTCAAAAACAACAAAAAAAGTCTCATCTGAGAACTGTGAACCGTGGAAGAAATCAAAACCTTTTTTTTCTTTAAAAAGCCACATATGAAACCACTAATGAAACCCTAACAATCTACTTCACATTGAAGTGGAAAAATATCCAAAAGGAGCAGCTTCAACTTCAATGAGGTGAAAGTGCACTATGAAGATTGTTCGCCTTTGCTGCATTCGGGATTTATATGGTTATTTGGTAACATTGTTTAAGAACTACTGGGTCTTAATGCAATCCTGCATAAGAATATAATTTATACTATGTCAAAAAGAAGACAGGACTTATTACTAGGAATCACAAAGACCAATCATCGTGACTTTTTTGAAGATTGTTTTATAAGAAAACACTTAAATGTGTGCAGCTATTTTCTTATTTTGAAGACTTTGCAAGTTTAAAATGTCATAGCAAATAATCAATACTAAAAATTTGTCCACACTGAGATACTGTGTATACAAAATGCCTTAATTATTAATAAGCCAATGTGTAGATACCAATACCTGTTTAAAAAAATTAAAACCAACCATGCTTCTGGCATGATAAAATCATGGAATTACATCAGGGGTTTCCACTCATGTAGAATGTTGTTGTTAAAACTTATTCCATACCATTTTTAAAACTTGAGGATATTTTTCGTATCTCTGAATTTTTTTTTTGCCAGAATCATTGTGTCATGTATGTATGTGTTATTTCTACATAAAAGAAAAAGGTGAATATGTATTTGTATGAATGCTTAACTAGAAATGTCCATGGAGTTGGCTAATTTATATTCACTTTTTATTGTATATAGATTCCTAATATTTTCAGTTCTGTATCATTTAAGCTTTCTTCATTTGAGTAAATTCACTAAATATTTCTATTTTTTGCTTTTTTTAATTCTGCTTTTATATCAGTTCTAATTCTTTTTCACTACTTATGTTTTAAAGAATTACATACAGTGCTTTAGAAATGTTTACAGTTAGTGCTGATCTTGTGTTCTAAATTCCAACACTTTACTACCTCCTCCAATGGTTAGTATGAAATGCCAGCAGACTGTATGAGGTCTTTTTTTTTTAAATATCATTTTTAGTGTCAGTGAACCCACTTCTGGAATGTCTTAACAGCTGCATATCTTATCTTGAAAGTGATTGGGATTTAAATACCACTATTGGTGGTTTGTGCATCATCTCATCTCATCTGAGTAAAGATTTTTAGTAATTGATTTTTCTGCAGTAATCCTACAAGCACTTGAATGTAAATCTTTAGCATTTATCCAGTTAGCCACTACTGATGTGAAATCCCAAGCAACTTTTTTGCTTTAAAAATGTCATCTTTCACTGAGTTCTATTTTTTGTGTAACTATATTTCATATAGCTGTGTATTCCTCACAATGAGCATCAATTTTAGTAATTGGTTCTTAAGTATTTAGAATAATTTAAGATTACTGCATCTCTGTGATTTGAGAGTTGAGTTATATAAGAAGTTGTTTTTCAGGAGGTGGGAATTTGAATCGTAAACCTGCGTCATCTCTGTGAAGCCTTAAGATGATGAAATAGAACCTTTCTTTGTTCCTATTCCTTTAGTTATCACTGTCTTATCTAACACTTTGCACCAGTTAACTCAGTTGGAGCATGGTGCTAATGAGGCTAAGGATAGGAGTTCAATCCTTTTATAGGTTCATTAACTTTACACATACACAGAACTATTCATGGCCACAGATTGCAACTTCTCATAGGTATGTATCTCGCGATTCAGCTCTTAGTCACAAGGAAGATGATGTATATGACATAGCATAAGCCTTTCATCTCAAATGGAAAGACAGCTTAAATAATTGGTATATGTGATACTATAGACTTTTAATCTAATATTTAAATTAAACATAATGTAATACCTAAAATATTGTGTCACTATAATTTTCTCAGGGTAAGACCATTTTCTAAATAGTATCTTTTAAAAATCAAATTTCAATAAATTTCAGTAAAAATTAGATACAAATACAAATAAAACATAGTAAGAAAAGGTAAAATCCTATTAACACTGAGTTCTTGTGCCTAAGTTTGGGTTTGTTAAAGGAAAGTATACTCAGTACTGTATAAGACAGCAGAATCTTTAGCTCACATATATTATTCAGTATCACACAACTCCTAATTTCTGTTCTTGGCGTTTGCAGTTTACATTAGTATCTACCTTTCTCAGTTACTGAGTTATGGTTAAGTATTATTTTTAGTACGATTTTTGGATAAAAGATGTTAAATAAGTAAATATTGTTGAACACTTTGGTTGCTGTTAAGCTCCTCTCGTGCTATTTAATCAGAACAGTGTTGATTTGATCTCCAAAAAGAGCCAAAGAAAGTGTTTACAAAGTATTTTGGCTGTTGTATTGACCTAGATTAGGACAATTGCTGTCTGTCATTGCTCATTTATTATTGTGCTGCTAAGCAGTATACAGAACTGAGGGACTACCCAATGTCTCTATGCCTTTTTACCTCTTCTACCTTCTTAGGTATTCTGTACTTGACTTTGCTAACTTTGCAGGTCTAGGGACAGGAAGTTAATTGAGGTGATGGAGGGTTATAATCAAGTAATTTGCTTCTACTAGAGATAAAGTGAATGGATTTTGTAATGAGTGGTCATGATCAGAATTAGGGTTAAAAGGAAGCAAGCATTATCAGATGGTTTTTAAAATTAATCTTTTGGCAGTAATTTCAAAAGTAATTGACACAGATGATTTACTTGAATCCTGAGATGTGAGGATTTGTATATAAATCCTGTATCCACTTTGGGGAATCATTAATATCAGCACTAAACTCTGAGGGCTACTGAGGAATTAAATCTTAATGCCCTTGAACATTTTTGATACATGTTATGTCCTAATCTTAAAAATGGTCATGTAGATTCAGAGCTACATTTCTGGCCTTTGAAATAGGCCAACTCAGAACATTTCTGTATTTGGCAAGTTGATATAATTAACGTTAATGGATGATTTGAGAAATTATTATTAGCTATTAAATGTTGATAATAGGAATAATATTTAAATAGTTACTTAAATTACTTAAATTAATCAAGGGGCTTGAAAAAGCAAAATTTAAGTTAATATTTTAGCAGTCATCCCCAGTTATCTTTCTTCCTATCTTTTAAGAGCAAGATGGTAATATCAGTTGCCTTTGTTGATTTAAAGAAAAAAGAATCACAAGCAACTGATTTAACTGGAGTGATCCATTTGGATACACTACTTATCTTTCAATATGAACTTTTATTTTCTGGATTACTTCAAATGGAAATAATATTGCTGGACATTTGTTGGTAGGTATTTATTTACTCCTATTCATTCTCCCTTAATTTCTAATTCTAACTATGAAAATTGTCATAAAACTTTGTGACCAACTATTCCTGCTCCTTTTTTATTCTGTAACAAGAATATAGAATAAAAAATTCATCCCTAAACACTGTATGCTCCTAATTTGTAAGATAGTTTGATTGATTCAGTAACAGCATCAAGTGTAACAATAAAAACAAATACTGCATATTATATACCCAGTATAACAAGTGTATTTTCCAATGCTGTACTTAATATTTAAAATATTGTAGTCAGTGTAATGTTCTCTGGGTCAGATCATTGACTTAACAGCATGTGCTAAAATCAAACGTCAGTAAAAATTAAGTACAAATAAAACATAGTATATACCCCAGTATTTTCTCTTATAGACTATAATCATAAAACACAAAAAGACAGTGACTGTGTACCAATTCTGTGAAAGGGCAGCCCCAGAGCTACCAGTATTTTTCATAATAAAGGTCAAAAAATTTAAAAGTATTGTTTATAATATATCACCCACCTTAAATAAAATATAGATACAATTGAAACCCTGTGTGTACCTTACCATGTCCCATTATTTCCCTCCTCCAAGGTTACCACTATTCTAAATACAGCCTTTGTCATGCCCCTGTGGGTTTTACAATTTTTGTGTAAATAGGGTCACACTACACATCCTTCTGTAACTTGCTGGATTTTGCTGAAAATGTTATTTCTTTTAAGATTCATGTCTGTCAGTACACATGGCTCTAGTTCATTTGCTTCCAGAATGATATGATATTCTATTGTGGAAATACACCCTCATGTATTTGTCCATTTTGTTGGTGATGGGCATCTAAGTATTTGACTGAGTATTGATTCTTATCCTTTACATTATTATGTATTTTCATTTGCTAAACCAGGATTTTTTTTTTTAATGTCCTGGACCTGGCCAAGACTGTTGTGACACTATGAATTTACACCAAAGCTGAGAAGAGTTGATCCAAGTATTTTCTAGGGTAAGAAAGAGTTTTCGCTGGAATCCTGGAATACACTGAATTACCAGAATTAATTTGCTTCTAAAATTAACTATGTTGCATTTATCAACCAAACCTGCAACATGGAGCCTGGATTAGAATTAGACCTCACCTTCCAGAAGTCAGGAAGAGAGTTTTAGCATTCATTTACTTTTCTACTTTGATTTTAAAAAGAGAGAGAAAGAAAAAAATTTCATTAACCCTTGTATAAAATTAAAGAGGTGAATGAGGCCCTAATTCACCCCTCACTTGCCCAGCAGTCCATTCACCAGTTCCTTTCTGTACAACTGTAGTTTAGCCTCAACAACAGCAGGAAAAGATTGATACTCTTAGGCAGATTCTAAAGCTTAAAAAAGGTTTAGAAGAGGCCTTTCCCCTTAGCCATCTGGATTCCTTTTCCTCTACTTAGAATAGATTAGAAATCAGTAAAGGGGACAACAAACTCACTTTTCAGTCTTCTTTTGAAGGCTCCTCTGCCTGTCCCTTAGATGTCGGTGTTCCCTAAGAGTACCCCCTTAGGTCTCTTCTCACTCTACCAGTTCCCTGAAAAACATGGTTTATTCCCAAGGCGTCCTTTACTATCTACATTAATTGTTCTCATGTTGGGGGTGGACGGGAGGCCATTTTTCGGTGGATCAAATGGACGTGGATATTTTTAAAGGTTGTGAAAACCAACTGTATGTTTTATCATTCTGAAATACAGATCTTGCCCTAAATCTCCTAGCTCATAAATTATATATGCAATTGCCTACTGGGAACGTCCACTGGGACATCTTGTAGACATATTAAATTCAGTTTATCCAGAATTGACCTCATTCTCCACCTCCACTCCCCTCCACCAACGCTACTCACCCCTCACTCCCACCCCCCAGGGACAGAAGGTATTCTGGCTAGGTCCTGGGTTTCCATGCTCACCGAATAGCCCTAATATCAGCAATTATCAAGCTGCAGAACTTTGAATCATCTCCAAATCACTCATCAAATCCTGTTGGTGCAACTCCCTCAATTTTTCTCATCTTTCTGTATCTCTCCACTTCTCCTGCCATTATCTTAGTCTGCATTATTCCAGCAGCCCCCAGCCCCCAGGCTGGTCTATCTGGCACTGGTCCTGCATCTCTATGTGCTATCCTCCACACATGCTGCCCCAGAATAGTCTATAGAGCACAAATTTTACTCCTTAAGGCCTCTTAGAATGATTTATAATCTGTTGACCACACCTCCTCTTCTCTTCCAGTACTTCAGCTAGAATGAACTTGTGTTTCTGGGAAAACTGCAAATGCTGAAAATTCTTTGCAAATGTTTTGTTTGAACATTCTTCCCCCCAAGTTCTCATTTATCGTTTTCTTAATGTTCAGGTCTCAGCTTAAACAGTTTAAATACCTCTTAAACCTGTTAGAGGTATCTGCTGCACGCTCTCATCTTAACCCTGTTCTCCTAACACTACTGATAGGTCAGTGTTTTCTAATTGTTGATCTGTCTTCCCAGCTAGATTGGTAATTTCATGAAGCCCGAGTCTGTTCTCTGTCACATCTCCAGTACAAGCACAAAGCCTGGCAGGCAGTAGGCATTGATTCTCACAAATTAATGCAAGGTTGTGGCATCTTTGGGCATGTATCAAGGAAGTAATTGAATAATCCAAAGCTGTTTGTGATAGCAGCTAAAAATGTCTAATTTTAGAAGAAAAAATACCCAGTTCTCTTCACTTTTTTGTTTTAGGATATTGGTTTGTAAATGTTCGTGCTACAACAAGATAAAACCTTAGCTAAAATGTGTTTGATTCTAAAAGGTTGTTACAATTGTTTTTCTATTGTATAGTTTCTACATTTCACACAAGATCCATGTAAGAAAGGACCACCTATAAAGTACAAAGTGAAGGTATTTTCATGTAATGTGTAAAATACATTTGCTTGAAATTTAGGACATCTCTTTGGTGTTTTGTGTTTCTCTTATTTTGTCTTAAAATAATTGAGAATCATGTGAGGTACAATGGGTTTTTTTCCCTGTGAGTTTCTTTTTTAAATTACAAAAGTAGTTCATACTTATTTTTGAAAATAGAATAATAAAAAGAAAATTATCCATAATCTTATCCACCTGGAGGAGCCAATGTGTCTCTCCTTCCAGATTTTCTTCTGGGTGTATGTATATTTTTAATGTAAATGGATTCAAACTCTACATACTGATATTGGGTATATTGTTTCCTACTCTCCATACACTGGAAAAGCTTGAAGGTAACTGAAAAACATTT